TTTGAACAAACATTCACACAAATAAGTGAAAAAGAAGATGGAATGAAGGTTTGTTTATACAAACCAGTATGCAAACCCAGTGATACATAAATATTATCTACAGAAATACAACATTCTTGATTTATGATAACAGACAGTTGGATATACGTTAAGGGTCAAACCAAACACCAGTTTTTTTCAAACTATTTTTGCTATCAAATAACTAAATTCAATTCTTGTACGTAATCAATACCTTAGTGACTTGAATTACAGTGATCCAAAGAAACAGTGAATGTCAATTTCATGGACAAATTAGCTGAATATCACACTGGACTGAGATTATCCTTCGCCTGACATTAAGTAAATTTAAGAATGGAGATTTCTTATCTAAGCTAGGTGGTTCAACTGTGAATCTTTCATTGTCTTTACTAGACAACTTTATACTGAAGTTGAATCTGAAGATATTACCTAGAAAGACAATGGAAGCTTGACGATTATACCATCCAGCCTTAGAGAACACAACAACAACAACTTATAATGTATAGTTTTTCGTATTATTCCTACCACCAAGTGTTCCAATCCTTAGTTTAGGTAGGTAGTAAGTAGTAGATATATTTTTCTAGTAAATAAATTCCCTAAACCTTTCAAATAATTAATATTTTCCTCCTAGCTTTCGAGTAACTGTCCATTCATATCAGTATTAAATTCATGGAGTAAACGTAACCCAATTTTAGGAGATCACTATGAATAATCTCTACGTCTTTTATTCTTCTAGGAATCTTTGAAAACCCTCACTATAAACAATAAATACGCATGACAACTTATAAACAAAAATTAATCACTTAATCTCAGATCAATACTAGTATTGTTACTGCTTACCTATTTTCGAATGAAACTTACTCTGCTATATATATATATATATATATATATATATATCAGTACCAAATTATTATAGTTTGTGAGACCCAAATAAATGAGCACAATGATAACGAAATTCGAAAGTACATACAACTTTTTAATCAGTATGCACAGTAACTAATATCTCTAAAATAAAAATAGGAATTTTTAGCCAGCTGGTCTAAACGTGACGAAATTTCGCAGTTATTTGAACAGAGAAATAATTTCAAAGGGGTTTCAAGTTGATAATTCTTTGAATTCAACCCACCGATAATTATAATCCGAAGTGAATGACTCGAGTATCAGTTCTTTGCTCAGTTATATAGCTGTTACTACAATCCACTTTTTAAAGTAAAATTCAACACCTTTTATGATCAATGAAATATTTAAAACTAGAGAAAATTTGCAGCCATCTGCTATATTCCTTTTCAGTTGTTAGATTTTGTCCCCAACCAAAATCAGAATTCAATGTCCCGGGTATCCCAACCCAAGTGACTGAAAGGTCAGCCAGTTCGGTCTTGTAACCTGCGTTCGTCCCCTCGTGGGGCTGTGGGTGTGCACTGATTAAGAATCCTAAACGAGGACGAAACAACTGTGTAGTGCTCCCCGGTTTTCAGTGATCTCTGTAGCTTGTGTCACTTCGTAACGAAAGCTAACAATCGAAATTAATCCGAGCCCCATAATCTAAATGTATTAATTTCATCAAAATACAGCTTTCAATTAACGAAAGCATAAATACTTTGCTTTGTCTTAACTATAAGAAGTTTAAAGGATGAAGCACTCAAATCCTCAGCATATTGTCGTCAATATTTTGCTTACATCTATAATGCAATACACATTTATGTGTGGATATATACATATATATGCATGTATGCAGCCAGATGATATTTTAGGTTGCATGAGGATGACATAGACCTGAAAGCCATATCACCTAGTGAATGGTGTTATTTTCTTTTCAAAACCCACGCCTAGATATCTGAATTGCAGAGCTGATTTACGTATCTTGAAATACAATACTTGTGACATAGTAGAAACATTCAGAATGCAACTCTTAAAGTTCAGACAGTGCGACTGCATTCCTATTTTTCTGATAGGAGGCAGTACACTGTTTACAGGGGGAAGTCCTCCACTGCTTTACTTACTCTAGCTGCTGTTCCTCAAGGAGCTGTTCTTCCTCCTTTCCTGTTTTCTCTCTTCGTGCACGACTTGCCCCATTCTGACGAAGCCAATTTTGTTAAGTATGCCGATGATCTCAGTGTTTCTATGCCGGCGGTTACTTCTCAGTCAGACTGTCCCAAAATGAATAACCTTTTATCAGATATTTGTCAATTGTCCTCGTCAAATGCTCTTAAGCTTGATCCCTCCAAATGTCAGATGGTTGATTTCACTTTCAGGTACAAGTGCGACTTACGTGAACTGGTCAGTTCGCAAGGTACCACTATCATAGATGGCACAGAAGTTGAAATTAAATTGAATGCTTAGTACCTTGGAGTGTGTATTTCCTCTAGTCTTTCCTGGTCCTCCCACATCATGTTAGTTTCCAGAAAGATGTATCGTTCCGTCAGTCTCTACTGTTACCGTTTGTTAATTCTTGTATTCTTCCCATCCTTCTTTACTATTCCCCCTTAAACTTTCTCGGGATATATAAGAAAGACTTTGTTATACTGCGTAGGGCACTAAAAGCCGTCAGTAGGGCGAGTTAGGTGTTGCTAAACCAACTCGTTAATACTATTCGAGATAGACATATGAACTCCTGCAAGAAATTAGAAAATATTATCTTGTCAGACTCTCAGCATCCTCTCTATACACAACTCTCTGCTTGCGTCTCATCGCGTAGAACTAGAAGCAAATATAGAAGACTGTATGCTACGATGAGTAAGTACAAAACTCTACAGTACCTTATAATATATACTATAATATACATTTATTCCTATCTATGCAGGAACACACCAGCTGTACAGATGTGGATGTGTATTTTTCAAATTACATAAATTTGGTTGAGCACACACATTTTATGTGATGAGAAAAGCATACGGCAGGAAATTACCAACTTACTGCGGAACTCTAAGTAAACGACCCCATTTTTTTTCATTGTCACATTGTTGTTAACACTTTCACTTAATTTAATATTCATTTCTTATTGAGCAACAGTATTAATGTAAGTGCCCTATTTTAATTATCACCCCTGTATTGAGAAAATTACATGCAATATTGTATTACATGCAGAAGATTCCGTATTTGTACCAAAAGTACTGTTTGGAATAAAGCTATTATTATTACTATTAAATATTTAAGCAAACCACTTGAAAAGGTTAAACAGACTATATAACCAACAGTCAAATGTCATATCAGCCAAGTAGACTACTGTCAATTTTTAAGGGTAACCTTCCAAAAGCTGTAAATTACTACTAATTTTAGTGCTGTCAAACAAATCCAGATTTCACACTGAGTTCCACTCAGTTCATCATTCATACCTTGAAGCTAACCTTCTCTTAGGAAGCTGTTTGAAGAGAGTACGAACCTTGTGTTAGTTAGTGACTGACTATTTTTCTAAGCCTGAATGACAATGAAAATAAACTAAATGTTTTGATCTGGAAAAATAAATAAGTTGCACGGGGGACTGACTAGCCACGAATAGACATACTTCTTCACTTTACGAAACTAAATAAGTGGAGTTCATTGATATTTTCCAAACACGTCTATTCGCATTTAGGTGACACCCACGTAATGACCAAATATCTCTCCAATTCATATCATATATTCATTTAAACAATGTTCAGCTAAGTGCAGTTGGTGCTGTATTTTAAAAAAATGTTTTATATCATCAGTGTAAAAGTATCGCCGAGGACCTAACTGGAAACTAAATAACTATTCGATCAATTGTTTGTCTTCTAGATATTTCAATGCAGACTTTTGCTAGATAAATTTCAATTAACCATGAACGTAAATGACACTAATTTTTCTCGTGCACAATCCATGATCATTTTAGCCCACTAGAAACGTGATAAATGATTGGTTTCAACGTACAACCTTGCACAGATGTGCAACAGTTCGAGTTACCACACTCCATGTAGCACACAAAGCAAGGGAAGAGAGTAAAGAGAGATTCAAAACAGAGATAATCAACAGAAATGTGAGTCAAAAAGAATAGTAAATATGCAAGAACAATAGAATTTTATTGGATATTATGAATCACAGAGTGGATGCGTTGACCATATTCGTTGAGAACGATTTTGAGCCATATCACCAATAGTCTCCAGTCATTGGTCTTTACCATCCAGGAAGTCTACACCTCCCGACGTGGGCTAAACAAATTGTTGTAGATTTTCATTTTAATTATAATTGATATGTTTATGAAAAATAAATTTTGTTCGAAACCTTATCCAGTAAATACAACTGTTTCATTTTGTGATATATCTAATAAACAAACTAATATGTTGTCGATTTCACTGTTTGATGCCGTGTTTGGGTTTCACCACCACTAGCTCTTGTCCAATCTGGTCCTATATCAGCTAACATTGCCCGCTGGCTTTTACTAACTCTTCGTTTTAGGTCATCAACAGCCTTTACAGCTGTGTCTACGGATAACTGTATATTGTGCCAGACTTCCTCAGGAGGAGTCTTCCCGTCAACCTCACATACTCGTTTCGCTATTTCTTCCCTAGATAGAGACTCAGTGTCTTGACCTAGTTGGGTAGGTAACTGCTTCGCTACCAACAGCATTTTATGTCCGTTTAATCTCAAGCATATTCGTGCGCTAACCAGGGCGTGGTCAGAGTATATGCACGCGTCCTAGAAGGAGCGGCAGTCTTCTGCTGACCCTCGCTATGTGGTCTATCTGAATCAAACGTTGATTCTGTGATGGAGGTCACCAGGTTTGGCAATGTCTACTTGTGTGACTAAAGTTAGTGCTGACTGGGAACAGATGATTATCTGAACAGAAATGTAGAATATGATCACCACTGTCAGTTCGTCGACAGGGAACTCCGTACCTACCACCACCTATATACTTCTCAGTTCGGCATTACCTGACGGGTCTTTGTAGCCCTGAAAAACAATTCAACTTCATCAAATCAAAATAAAGTTGTGATAACACTGATGAACGAGGATGCAATTGACAAAAAACAATAATCTGCTTGCATACTATTTCACCGTATATTTTCAGTAATCAAGGCACAACCGTATTATTCATAATATTCAAAAAAAATAGGAGAGAAAAGAAACTTCTCGTAGTCAGAAAAGAACAAAAATAAGTTGTGTCAATAACAAATAGACAACAGTTTGTGCATAAAGCTTTGTGTTCATAACATTCGGACTAGAAGACAAGAGAGACAGCTTATGAAAGCAAAACAATTGAATCAAGCTGATCACATAAACAAAATCACTGAAGGAATATCAGAAGATGAGTGTGAAAGTCCATTGAAAATATTCAAATTAAGGCTTGTAGCAAAACGGAAAACCAAAAGCATAACAAAAGGTGCATGAATGTGGAACGAAACAAATTTCTTCTTCTTTTTCTTTCCTCCCGTAAACTACACAAAAAAAATATTACTGCAGAAAAAGATTGTTTACTCGGATAAAGTATCTGAGTAAATGTGCGCTAATTAAATCTATGCGAGGAAAATTTCACAGGAATTTAGTAATTTTAATTACTGCTTCACATGCTATGCTTATTCGGTCACCATGGGTACGTAGGCGGGTACTTAGCCGAATAGAAACCCCGAGACTGAAACACAAAACAAAGAAATACCATTATTATACATTTCAATTATGAGGAATGTTTACCTAATTATAGATTCAGTAATACTGGCAGATTTTATGTGACCCTGAAGATTGAGTAAAATGAGATTAAAATTAGGCTTTGATACACTAATGTACAGGCGGAAGAAATAAATTGTTCTACATTTACCGGTTCGCAGTCAGATTGAGATATGTGGAACAAGACAGTGAACATAATAAATGTGATGATGATAGGATTTAATTTTCAAGTATTGGTTTTGTAGGGATTTTGTTTGATTGCATGGAGGATTTCATCATGAGCTGACATCAGTTAGAGAACCACTGGAAAACCTGGGAGTACTGGACAGTTGTTTCGTCCTAGTTTGGGACTCTTCATCAGTACGCACCCACCGGAATTTAAGACTGCAGCTGGTGCAAATACATTCGCATATAATTGATTCACTTTGTTAGGTTTTACCATTGGATTTCGTTACCTTTCCTCTCATTGACTTGTACATCGATGTGCCGATGTAAAATGCGGTCACCTTCAGGTTTATACAATAATTTACCATCACCGGTGAATTTTTCTTAATGGAAATTGTGAAGTCAAACAGGTTCGTACCTTCAAACATTATGCTATACTGCCTAGAGAAAAATTAAAGGTACTCAGGGAAACATTTCGTCTCACCTTATCGACTAACATCGAATCAGATTATAAATGAAATTACTGTAGTTGTTCTTCACTAATGTTTTACGACTTTACAGTGTATGTATGAAAGAACATTTGAACTGCAGGGAATGAGACAAGTCCGACAGACAAAAAGTAAGTATTTGGTTTCGCCTACTTCCTTCAGTACTATTTATTGAATAACCACAGCAAACGTCTGCTGAAAACGACGGTAGGTTATAACTAAAATAAACCCACTGCAAAATTATGTGAGTGTTTATGCACTCAGCTTCTGTGTGAGAACTAACTATATCACCTGATTGACTAAAACTTAAGGAGACCTGGCTCAGATCAAGCCTTTGGTACCTCATTTGAAAACATTCAAATAAGAATGTCATGGTTGGTTCTAGTTAAATGTTTCACATTCCGCAGAAATCTATATTTTGACATTAAAAATAATAAGAAAATTTGGAAGTTCAAAGGACACTTTTCTCCAACACTGAAACAATACTAGGCTGTGAGCCACACCTATTGCCAAAGATGAAGTAGATGGAGTGAGAGTTGAACCCATAACCCATTTGGTGAAGCTAATGAACCACACAGCTCTACAGTCAAACAGCAAAGCCCCCACTAGGACAAAACGATAACTTTAAAAATCTCTGCTGTATGTAGCAAAATTTTTTTAAATAGTCGAGCATATTTAGGGATCCGAAGATGAAGAAGACTACTGTTCGGTGTCCTTTTAGCTATTACATTTGGTCGTGAAATTGTCAACATCAAGCTAGGCGGAGTTATCACAATCGACCTCTTTTAATGAATGACAGAGATCATATGAATACAGTGATGTAATAGATACGACAACATTACTCTTATTGTGGCAACAATTCACATTCAAAAGCTAAGTATTCTAAAAGCTTAGTTAAGACCGATGGTCTGCATCTTTCTGGCACTCCTGATCCTCTTCAACTCATTGTTCTCACTGGTAGTTTGATGTTTCAAACAACAAAAAACATATGGTCATAATTGTGTACCCCTAAGAACACAGAGACTATACAGGCATTACACTATTAACTTACCGACTATACTGCTGGTAATTTATCATAAAATCGACGATATCGGTCATCTACTCTCTTCAAGTAATATGAATCAGGAAACAATCCGTCAGGTCGAAATACTGGTTCGAACGAAACTGGAAAAGGAGATAAGCAAACTTTAAACATCATACAATATATATGTTAAGCACACATACACAACGCCAAAACATCTGCAATCTGGGAGGCTGCTCACTAACATAATATACAAATAACAAGTGACTCTTGTACGTTGGAATTATTAAGGAGAACCAATGACTTAAATAATAATCATTCTCGCTGAAAAGTCTTCACTGCTGTCTAAAGTCTATCAATAGTATGTATTTTGTGTACTTCGTGTTAACACCATTAAAAAAATTAGCAGATCACATCAAATAACTCACAGGACGAAAAAGTATGTGAAACTTTTTGATACCAAATCAAACAGTTTGGGACACAGTATAGTGTATGAATCAAAAACCCACTGAAAGCTTGAGACCACGTGATGAAGAGTGGTTGGACAAGTCTCCAAGCATTAAGCTTTGCCTACTTGAATCTCTAGCGTTACAAAGGTGAGGTATGCGCCTTCATTTTGGTTATTTTTCTTTAGGAAATTATAGAGACTGAGCGACCACTGCTGACAATGTATTTGATATGAACGACACTTTTATTATTTGTGACGATGTGACTTGAATCATGCACTACACATATCTAATAACTCCTATTCGGCAAATAAACTAGCCCTTAAGACATAAAAGAAACGATTTCATCCATAGGAATCCAGAATGAAATGGTCAACTGACGAATTTTCGCAGCTACTCAGCTACTGGTCACCACGTGTATTTCAGGTGTATGCAGTTCTGATGGTGCGCAAGAAGAGATAAACCTTCTACGAAAAGTTCTCATCGAAAACGGATATCCACTTCAGATCACAGACAAAATCACTTAGCGAAATATTCCAGTGTGAGCTCTTTTATGTAGACGAAAGATGTTACATATGAACTTCGAATTCAATGGTAGGTAACCTAGTTGCTGATATTGCAAAATGAAGAATCCAAAGTAGCATTTGTTTCAGATAACAATTATTTTAACAACCTGAAAGACAAAACCACTTCCCTTCCATGACCGGTACCTGTGTAGTTACATGTGTTGGTCTGCTGAAACGCTTTCTGTCCCACAGAGTTTAGGAAAAATACCTTTTGTAGGTGTGACAAAACACCAGTGATTTGATTCAAGACCTTATTGACAATGGTCATTGAATATCGACAGTTGAATGCTCCAAAGTTATCCACAAGATGAAAAATAAACTAATAAAACCAGTGTACACAAGGCTCCTTGAAACGAACCATTATCACTTAAGAGGAAAGTAGTATAAAGCGATGCAACTGTGTCAAATAAAAATGTATAAAATAAAGTTCTGTGAAGAGTGTTTATATTGTCATTAGGTAACTAGAAGAAACGAACAGAATATTTGTGTACACAAATTTTTGATTTCAAAAGACACTATCCTGTAAGCTCGATCCTAATTTGTAGACATCACCAAAAATGAGCTAAGCAACATTATGCGCGCACTGAAATGCAAGTTCTTTCATCTCGTACTGCCCTGTATCCCACACCATGCGAATAGATATCACGTGTGTCGTAACTTGTTTTACCAAATGGGATATTTGTAAATAGCGAACACGCACCTATAGAAAACATTGTTCTCCCATTGATAATAATAAAGTCAAAAGTATCACTCACAATATCCCTAGACATCGGTTCAGAGACTTTTGCTGCCTATTGAGTGAAGCATCTAGAAGAGAATGAATCAGTAGTCCAAGTTTGTCGATTTTAATGACAAACTGTAGGTCTCAGTTTGCCGTGTAATTCTGAAGCCATTGGTGGTTTATCAACACCATTCGTTTCAGAATCCGTGCATTCTCTTCCTCAAGCAATTCTGACCTATTTTTCTACAATTTTGGTTTCGTTCAAGAGAATATTCGTCAACTCATTTTATTTCAGCACTTACTACTAGCATCTTTACTTTCAATGAGAATGGTTCATCCTTCTTTTCTCGCCTGAATTTTTATCTCATCGAGAGTTTCGTTTATATTTTCATTTAGTTGTGAAGCTAGACAAAATCTCCAGCGTAGGTTTCAGCATGAAATGAACTTATTTCAATTCGCCAAGAATAATATAATTATATCCCCTGGCAACCGTTGTGGTGATTCGCTGTTAATTTACGTCCCTAATTCCACTTACAGTTGACAAGTAACAATATGTTTATTTACTGAAATCCAAGTATACCTCACTTAACCAGAGATATTTAAAAACAGCAAGAGTTAGTGGAACACAACCCATAGAAAAGGTCAATCTCTTAAAAATCTCCTGGAATATGCAGACTATTTCTTCCAACTACTTATCTTGGTGAATAGTAGTATCGAGAATAACAGAAAAGATACTGTGCAGCAACTACGTAAAAGTCCATAGACAAGTTGATAAAAACCGGTAGTTTATGTGTTGAATGAAAATTATCCTAACAAACACCAGTGTGCATTTTCAAAATTGCAACTTTTTCAACAACACAAAAAGCATCACATGAGTGAGTCTAACCATGGGAAATGAAAAACACTAAATTTGAAGAACACACTGCTATACACTAGTGCTTCATTGCTTTCTGTGCAATTATGCATCAGCTATTTAATAAAACAAATTTTCAACGGTGAGACAGATAACAAAACTCTTGAAAAATGAAAACCATGGGAAATTCTAATAGGATAACGACATACAGAAAACTCGAAGTTACTTCTTTGCTGGTGGATACTTGTATAGTCTCAGGAGGGGAATACTACCACTCATTAGAGAGTAGTTACACTCAGATGACGAGTCCCAAATGGGCCGGAACGCGTATCTTGGATTCTACTGCCAGCGACCTGGAGTTCTTAATTCCTGTAAAACTGAAGCATACATTCAAGCAACCTTTGTACTAAACTGAAACTGATCAATACAGTTAGATAATATCAACGAGAAATCGCCAACATGAATACATAAGAAGTTAAAACAGCATAAAAGATAACCCCTATTTTATTTTGTTCATTGTACATAAGTGTCTAGAATAGCACAACAAAATATGTCCTCGTATTCTAGATATCCACACTTTTTTGTTCCCTTTGAAAGGAATCAAATAAACAAAACGTCGAAAACTCTCGAACAGGCGTGGTGAGTGAAAGTTTTAAAAAACAGTCTTCACTATTCATATTGCACATAAACAATCTAACACGTCACCAGCCTAAATACGAACTGTCAATAAAGTCACCAATCAGTCTGATAAATTAAGTTGACTTTCATAAACAAGGTCACTCAGCTATATGGTTTATTACACGAGTATCATAGATGCATAAATAATAATTCCACACGACTATCTGTTTACTATTTATTACATAGACTAAAAGTCTTGTCTCCAATAAGATTAGCTTAATCGATAAAATTATTCAACTGTGAATAATAATTAGGCTTCATAGGAGAATTCATTTGTCACATAATTTGAAAGCGACAAGTAGGCATACTGCTGCTTTCTAGGGTTAGACGTCGGCCAAAATGGATAGTCCGTGTAAATGTCCTACTGAAATGAACAATGGAGACCAAGATTAAGGCTGTGAAGTCCTAATGAATTACAACAAATAGAGTAGTCACAGACGCAACATCAGGTTTACTGGTTAGTAATGAAATCACACCCGACTAACCTAAACTACTAGTGCATGTGCACAGGACGAGTAGTTGTACAAAGATATGTCAAACCTCTCTACATAATTTATTCATATAGAGAGTACACCTAAATTCGCAATAATATTGGTAACGCGTAGGCATATATCCTTTCCTGTGCCAGTAAAAGCGTTCGTCACAATATTGGTTCAGAAACCCATGAATAGTTTTGCATCTTCATTGCTTTACCTATTTCAACGATCAAAGTGGCTATGAAGGGGAGCAATGAATTCATAATCATCCTTTGTTAATCATGGTAATCATAACTGCTTGAAGAATACATGTTCGATTTGGAAGACTAAGACCGTCTGTTTCACCTAATAAAGAATATATGTGAGTTTATCATCACTCAAACTAACGTCCTCAATGGGCTCTTGCACTTTCTGTTGGCTATCTCCAGCTTCTCGTGAAGATTTTAGCTTGATCTTCAAATTCCCCTGCATTAGATAGCAATCCCAGCATATATCTGTTCACCAGGCTGTGTCTGCGCTTTCTTCAGACTGAGATGAAGTCTATATGATTTTTAGTGGGTCAATGTGGTGAAATCCACTTCACCATATGGATACCCTTGCACTTGTAAACGCTACCTCCAATCACCAAATCATTGGAGGCGCTGAAATCCGCAGAGAGTTCTCCGTTCTCATTCATTTCACCGACAGCCTAGTGACCAACTATAAAGCAACTTCCTGTGTTGTTTGCTCCCAGTTTGACATTCATGTCACCTGCGAGTATTTCGATATCATCATCTGGCTAGTTAGGATCTCGCCCACTATTGTTTACAGTTGTCTATAAAAAGCCTCTCTCTCTCTCGATCTGCATTAGATGCAGGTGCGTAGCAGTGAATAGTTGTACATTTCCTTTTGAGTTGAATCTCATTTTGGTGATACTGCGTAAAATTGGCTGCAACTTTCCATAGCTGATGCAAATTCACGGGATATACATAAGCAATAATAACTGCAGGAAAGTGTTTTAAGTGATTTGACAAGCTTATGAAAATACCCTAACAAATAAAATCATGTGTGTGTCTTCGTAGATAGATACAGTATGATGTTAAGAGTAGCAACTATGTACAATGACAAAATGAATCTAAAGACCAACTAACCTACAGCAATAATACGATTTGACTAACACGAACAATTACCTGAGTTGTGTGAAATCCTTCGTTCTTCCAGCATATGCTCGAAATCCAAAACAGTCACTTGTGTACGTTCTTTGAATAGACGTTGGTGGACAGCATACTTAATCTGAGATGAATCTCCAGTACCTTCAGACAACGATGATAAAGAACAATCTACGACACTTGATAGATCTCGATCTGGATGAACAAGAATGCTGAACATAGCTGATGCCATTCCGGAACCATAAGAATACAATAGGATACGACGGCCTAATAACTCAGCCTTTGGTACACTTGTACATTAATAAAACAAGCAAACAAGCAAAATTCATTATTGTGTTCTTTAAAATTATAACATAAATCTATACTTGCTCTCTCTTGATTGCCATTTATGGTACCAAGCAGATCACATATTCAGGGAAACTGGTGAAATTTCAGCTCAAAATGTGTAGACTGCAAATCGTGAATTAATCTCCATATTGAGAATTTAAACTCTAATTATACGTACCGTTTCATCTTCAGTATTATAGGAATTCTAACTTTTTAACATTTCCACGCAGTTTAGTTATTGAAATGTTTTCACTATTATGCTGCCTACATTATTCCTATCACCACTTGCAACAACTACTGGTATTTCTGTTGTCGTGGACATTGCTATCATTATCGTTGTTATTACCAGTATAGTTTAAAACACCAATACTTATCACTAACCAACAGATCATTGGCTAAGATTTTATACATATTTAAGGTTGGGTATAACAGTAGAGCTTGAGGAGGATCTCATTCAAAACAATATTGTTAACTAATGTCTTATTTTAATTTCAACAATGGGAGTTTTTTTGAAAACTATATATCATCCAGCTTAATTCCTCTGTGTTTTCATAAACCTTTACGTGATTATCATTTTTAAGTTGAGTAGTTTTTTCCCATTATGCTCCCAGTTAGGAGGAGGGGGAGGTGGCTCACCGAGTACTTTGAAAGTATTCTTACTGATCCGCAGACTTCACAAACTAAGTCGAGGTGAACCAGAAACGGAACGTCTGTTTCGCTAGTTTTGCACTCATTTCCCTTAAGGTGTATTTGAACAGAATTAATTCGCAAATAAGATAGGTAGGGTAAGTAGGTTAAATCAGCTAAATCTTGCCGGTTGACATTAAGTATTCAATAAAAGGATGTTTAACAACAAGAACAATAAGAACAACACTTTGCTCAATCACTTACTTGAGGATAAGACTAGCCAGACATGAATACAATGAAGCGGTGTACATATTGCCAACATTTTTAGCAAACATTAATCCAGGATCTACTCTACGCTTGTACAGTGAATCAGTCGCTTTCATACAAATTGCATCCAACTGGCGATCCGGAATACCACACCTAGTAATTTTAAAAATGACGATCTTTAGCAAATATTTGATGGAAATCGCTTGATAAATGGAGAAAAAAGTCTGCTAAAATTAATATTATCATAGCACTTCAAGCAGACAACATGAACCGATAAGATTTAAAGACCACCACTTAACCGTAGCGCTAACACTCGGGGAACTGATCTTGAATGACACTGGTTGATAAACAAAAGGATCCACATGAACCAAGTTTTATGTTCACTAGGATTTATTTAAACCTTCCCCACTGAACACCAAAGTTTCATATCTCACCGAAAAGTGATTTAGTTAGGACTGAACGGCGTACAGTAATCGATTGCCAAGTAGTTGTGAGACAGCTGCAAGTCTTCGATTATAGGTGTTCTTGTTCAGTTATTTGATTTAGGCGGAATGCTGAAACAAGAGATGTTATCTGAAGCAAGATTGAGTTAGAAAAGGACAAGTGGTAACCAGGCCAGAAAATAGCCCCACCCCATGAGTTGACTGAATCTTCTTCATAACCATGGGTCCATTTGATTCTAAGAATCAATGGCTGGAGACTTTTGGTGAGTCACCTTAATATCTTTTACAACAGTATATTTACAGTTAATCGTCAATAGCATTATCGACAATCTGAGCAAATCCATATCTTTGGTCAATGGTTATTTCATTTAGTTAATTTATATATATATATATATATATATATATATATATATATATATATATATATATATATGGATTTCGAAGTGCAGAACCGTGAACTGATACACATTTGCACGAAAATCATAGTCGATTGGTAAGCAGCATAGTTCGAAGTTCCATAGTCTTCATCAGCACCAATCGATCAAGTCTGTTCTATGACCAATGGACGAAATAATTCAACATTCTGGTGCACTGTTATTTAATGTTTAATTACACAGTAGCAAACACCAACCACAACTAACTGTGAATGAATCAAATGAATCACTGTTTATTCTCATGAGTGTTGTTAAGATTATAAAGTACTTAACTTGCTTTGAAAAAAATTACTGAAAAAAGAGTATTTGTGGAGAGAGTGTAAGACGAACCGGTTACCACTGGTTAAAAGGAGAGTTCGTTCGCGAAATACAAGGGAAACGAGAACGTAATGCTAAACTAAAAGATATGGGAATTTTGGGTCAGATAGGGGAGTTTGATTAACCAAGCTGAGTTTCAGCAGATTCTACAAACTAGTGTTGAAACGTTGGTGGAAAGCCGACCCTGCAGTGGTGTAAGTGTATTCGTTTCCGATACACTTCGGATTCTAAGCATTTCGAAATAATGGAGATTTGTAGATTAGGCGAATGTTTTCATTGTCGTTGTGTCCCCTGGACTGGGTGGTTTAATAACCCTCAACACCTTCAGTCCTCAGTTCAGTGTGTACTTTGTATCATCATACTGCAAAGTACTTCTACGAGACTGAAAGAATCTAGTGTCTCCACTTACCACTACAGTTGAACAGCTAGAAGTAGAAAAAATTCAATGTATCTGAGCAATTGTATGAGTGCTGGGGTGAAAGTTCGACGAATAATATTTACATTATGACACAGAACACCGCGATACAATATCATTTGTTAACGAAGCCTTGACAGTCACAATCATTTATAGAAAACTGGAGTGATATGTGTCAGTGTAAGTCACTTCTGACTTCACTGGGACTTAAGTCTTGATTTTAAAGGTGGGATATGCAATGTTTACTCGCCGCTGTCTCCATATTACAGTCAACTGAAAACAACATTTAAGCAATTCTGAAGCTTATCAGCTTGTGGTATGAACACGCTGATGATCTTTTGCACACCTATGTCAATAGTCTACATGTGTTCCATGAATGTTATTATAGCTGCCTAAATACAGCTTACTGATTACTAGTTACACACTGGCTAAAAAAGATGAAGAGGTAGTTAATCCATGCGGTGAAAGAAAGTCTCATCGCGTTCACACATCAAGACTTCTTCGTTGGCATCGAGAGGTTGATCCAACTCAATGGCACGGCATTTTACCAGAGACGATTTGCAATCGAAATACTGATGGTCATGAAAAGTAACACAGAGGGATGGAAGGTTCTGAAAATACACCTTATGCAAATTTGTATACCTTCATTCAGTTACTTTTAACCCTAAAACTTATTTTTTCCTAAAAATGATCGTGGACTTTTTAGGGTAGTTTTTTATGCTGATGTTGTAATATACTTGCTCTACATACAAGAAAATTTAAGTATTCTCTGTTTCGACTAACTACTTTATGGCATGGTAATTCAGATTAATACACTACTACGTACGATTCTACATTGGTCTACAGCTGCAACTTTTGAGGGGAAGAATCACGTACAAACACAGGAGAGAGACCTCCTCAGTCAGTTATGACCCACTGGAATAATATTACTACAACAATACATAGAACTTACTGTTTGTCGTCAGTTGCAGAATAATCTTTCAAAGCTGTGCAGATATCTGGATCAACTGAATTGAGATGATTGGATTTCCGTGATATCTGATGATTGTCAGAACCGTTTGAAGTCATCTTACCAGCTTCGCTACAGAGCAGACGCACGTCAACCAGTGCCAACCAGCCCACTGCTTTTTGAACGAGACGAGTAAATGGAGAATGAAGGCACATGTAGTCAACGGAATTATTCCCTTTCGGCAGGTTTTCGCACCAAGGTGTAGTTACAGTTCCATTAAGGCCTAAAATATTGATCATATTGTAAGAATTTTTGTTTTGTTCATTTCATTATTACTAATTAAACAAAATAGGTCAGTAGACAACTACTAATTAATCAACTTACATCAAAATAGATAAGACAAAGTAATATAGAAATACGAACTGTGTAAATAACACCAAAGTTCAGAAAAAACTACAAATAAGATGGACAAAAGGAATGCATCTAACAATAAAACGAGACACTCTTCTCATACGAAAAAAATTGAGCAAAATAGAAAAATAATGGCGGTGCCGAAATCCACAAAGTAACAGGATATCAAGAATACAATAATAATAATAATAATAATAACAGCATACACTGCGATAATAAAAGTAGAATTAACCTCACCTTTAGAAGCCGCCTTCTGTTTATACAATTTATAGCACGCCTCTAAAGCCTCTCGATAACACTGCATACTGAACTGACCGTCCACAACAGGATATTCAGAACTTAAATTCGGTTTATAAAAATCGTAGCGATGTTTCATATAAATAGCGCGTAAACCTAGCGGAAATAAAATTGGCGAAAATATATAGTATTGCGTATATTTACTAAGCTTTATACTTAATACATCGAAAGCACTAAATGTAACACTTACACTGGGTTGACCAATTAATAGTGAATAGCATGGAGGATTTCATCATGAACTGACATGAGTTAGAGAACCACTGAAAAACCTGGGAGTACTGGAAAGCTGTCTCGTCCTAGTTTGGGACTCTTCATCAGTACGCACCCACCGGGGCTCGAACCCAGGACCTTCTGGTTACAAGGTGAGCTTGTAGACCATTGAGGCACCAATACTTGAAAATTAATATTGAATAGTTAAATCTTATTCGGCCTGAACAGACAACATTTCAAATAGATGAAAATATGACTTAGAATCAAACACGTTACCCTACAATTAAATGGCTACCTATAACAGCTATGAATTTGAACATTGTGCATATACAAAATTAATTTTTCGTAAAGAAAAGACGGAAATTGTAATGGGGGAGTTTCTCCAAACATCTCAATTTAAAAACAAAGTCTAACACGACAATGAATTCCAAATGGTTGTTCAGTTAACAACCGCATATGTCACTGAGCTTTGAATTTCAAATGACATGAAGGTAGGAAAGTGTGCAAAATAAATGGAGTATAGACTAAAGGGAGCACCATTGTTAAATTATGTCACTATAAAATTAGGTGTAGCAGTTACGCTAAATAAGCTGTATAAATGTTTGGATCCGACAAATGAATAATATTTCGCACGCTGAAATGTGTGGTATATGAGCAAACAGTATAAAAGACTCAACATTAAACCATAAGAATTGAGGGAATAATTAGGAATTAGGCGAATAAATCCTTTAAATTGAAGAACACCGTAAAAATTCAGGTATGCATTTATGAGCAGTTATGATACACTGCACGGTTATCCAGACAGAAATAGGAGGTATTTTGCAGGCATGAATTCATTACTTACAAGTCAAACGCTTGAGCTAATGAGCAGCACTCTGATAATCATCTGAATCAACGCATTCCCTGAATTAATTATAATCAGATAGGTATCAGAAAACTAATCAGTCATTGTTTTGTCCTGAGGATCCCTTGCATCTGAAGGTGAGGTCGTATAAGTACTTGAAGTTCTATGCTACATGTGGAAAAAATATGAAGGTCATCTTCTAGTTGATGTTTTCATCTTAGGTGACTAACTTTGGTGACTTCGAAACTCGTTACAAGTGTTCTCCTGGCAACTGTTTAGTGGCTCTGGGGTTAATTACAGAGTTGGTCATCCCATGACGTGCAGTGACATGGAGGGAAGAGTGGTGTTTGATGATGAGTATCTGTTTGTAAGTCACAATTCCCTTGTGCGACCAAGAGGTCGAGTGACTCAATGTCTTGATATTTCGGATGGGTCCCACAATCAAAACCAGTGACGTCCATGCTGCAATTTCATTGTGTATGTTTCTTATACCAGAAAAGTAGTGGAAAGTAATTAATAACCTCTTGAACACATCTGATTGGATTGCTATATATTTCTCCTGCCCACGTCGTCCCAATTCCCACCCATTTATATTGTTTGATGACTAATATTATTATTTTGGGTAGTTTACCATCCAATAAATGAACAAGATGAAAGCTAATGATTTTAGGCTTCGTGATATGACGAGAAACCGTTCTCAGTGGTGCAGATTCGTTCACTCTCTACACATTCTACTAATTCTCTGTTACTCATGTTCGCCTATCGTGATATCACTACGTTTCTGTTTCGTTTATGTATGTGTTTTGAAGTGTGAAAACTTGGATTGTTGGACTTCTGGAAATAGGTCTTCGTCAATTTATGAATGACTCAATTATTTCTCAGTTTGATTCAACAAGTGTCACATGAAGAATATTATATATTTATATTCCACAACTTCATAATTAAAGGGCGAATGGAAGAACTACGCAACAGATAATAGACACAGGTTACGCATCAGAAATTCAACAGGTTGGTGTTACAGTAATAGTCAACAGGTTGTTGGCATAACACATTTCAGTCACTCTGGTTAGCGAAAACCTACAGCTTTAATAGATAAGAAAAACTTAGACTTCACGCCGCAATTTCATAAGATATCAACGATATTAGGAAGATAATAATACCTAATGCTTTTTCAAATCTTATGCCTTAAATGGAAGTGTTTCACGGCCTCATGGTTGAACGCAACACATTGTTAATGAGTACTTTCTATCCTCAGTGGACATTTCGGTGGCACAACAACCAGCGTAGCTTGTGTCGATGCTAAGTGCTAAGGAACTTGCAATATCGATATTTTCAATGACATACATAACACAACCAAGTTTATGCAGTTAATAATACAATGCGGTTTACAGCTAGAAATAGCCGGAATAGCTGATTATCAAAGTCTTTATCCGAAATGTTGAACTACGTCAAACAAAGTCTCAAAACGACCTCAAGAACAGTGGGCAGACACCAGACGCTCCTTAGTGATTTCCTTCCAATAGCTAAACGGTGAGTATATTTTAAACAAATGAATGAAAATAAGGTTACATATAACTGTTCTTTTTTAAAAATTCAATTCTTACCAGGATCAACCACTAACGGAGCATTTGGCCCAAGTAGAAGTGCAACAGCTCCAGCACCGCCGGTGGGACGTGCTGCTCTATTACCATAAACTGCTATATCAGCGGCAACAACCAACGCTAGGCGACCTTCATTAGGATTATTTTCAAAAAATATCAACAAAGTACAGTAAGTGTAGTAATCGTTAAAAGTGAATCGCCAGCGACGATAGAAGTAGTGCAAACAAATATCTCACCCATACAGTATATGCGAAAAATCTGAAGTTGTAACAATAGAGTTACGGGAAATTTTCTCAAGAACACCATTTACATCCGTGATTCAACATGCATTATCCGGCAGTATATTTATAACTATAATATTGTCTACTGCATTTTTCACAGACAATTGACTATCCATCCCACTATTATCCTATTTTAAATATTCATCTCAACAGCTTTCTTTACAGTATCTTGTCAACAGATTACCACCTTTTGATGTGGTTGTGTTTACTGGTCCGGAAAATAAAACGGCGAAGCTTTCATTGTCTTTCTAGACAAAATCGTCAGGGCTTACTTCAGTATGAAGCCTATGATAAAATAGTGACCTATTAAAGATAAATAAGTTAATAAAATGTCTATGTGGCAAATACATCATCAGAAATATTAAAATTTGATGGTGTGCGAGAACAAGAAGAAGAAGAAGAAGAATGAGTTTTCATCATAGAATGATTCTACTTTATAAAACGTGCACGGTGATACAGTATTATTTACTAATTATGTTGTCACTACAACTTACTACTCATCCGTCAATAATGCTGTATCACTGTGTATTTTTGTCGAAAAAACAAACCATTCTATGATAGAATTATACCTTACCACAGTGCCCAAATTGTATTATTATATTAATAATGAGTTTTATCATACGGAATCAATTTAATACTACGAAACACAGAGTAATGAGGGATACAACTACTCTGATGTTGGTTAGGAATCCTGTCGTACATCGTTTCCAACCTTTCTCAATTCGCAACATATAATCGCCGACATTAGTGACAAGCTATGAGACGGGTCTGATGAAGCATGACGGACGCAGTCCAGCAAACAAATAGCCCCATTAACGGCAGTAAGTAGGAGTAGCACTACAACCCGAAAACATGAGCCACTAAATCAAAACTCAGTAGAAGTAAACAAAAATGGAATGATAATACAATCGATGTGTGAAAATGTCTAGAACTTAGCAGATAATAAGTAGTGAATACATTTGCGCCAATATAAAATATTTTGAACTATTCCACCAAGATTTAATGTTACAGTTCTTGGCAATTAATGCTGCTTTCTTTGTCTTTATTGTGAGTATTCAGGGAGTCATATTGTGCCTCGTTAGCGAAAATTCCTTAAGCAGAAAGTAGTCAGGAAAATGACTGGATTTTTAGAGAATATAACAGATTAAGAGAGTTCTATCACTCTGGAATGAGGTCATCATTACCTCCAGTCCTTATATAAACGAGAATTAACATATACGGCAATGATCAGTCTGTTATCAGTCGCTTTTCTCCATTAACTTTAGCATTCATGATATCCTGGAGAAAGTGTGCGGTTGTTATGCGCATACGCTACCCAAAAAAACACCATACGATCTTCAGTATGCAGACGGAAATATCTGACCGTGCAACAAAATACAATCGACCAAGTTCGCATATAATCACTTAGTTACTTGGGTTCACAGATATGTATGTGTATTGTAGCGATATAGTACAAAGTACTTTTACAAAGTTGATAACGCCTTGTATTGGCACTTGCTTTCTTAGGTGAGCCATTATTACCAAGACAACTTCACAGTCAAATGAATGCTAATAATGCAATTGACTAGACCGCTAGAGGTATGCCGGAAACTAGAGGGATATAAAACAACAATCCGCGCCACCTAAGACACCATCGGTGTATGCGTATGGTCACTTGAGGGCATATTCACGACATTTAGATGAGTGCAGTTTTTCTCTGCGTATATTAAACCTGTCTTTGGTCGACTGATTCAGTCTAGTAACTGTGTGTATCTGGTTACCGTCGTCTCAGTAAGACTGCTAGTATCCACTGATGACCCCTTCTGAGTAATCTAAAGGTGTGAAGGCATAACTCTGCATCTTCCAGAAATTAAAACTAGTGATCCAATGTTGATTTACCGATTTCAATGAATTGAATATGCTTTACAAACCTCATTCAAATGGCCAACACAACTGTGTTTTCTAGCTACAGAAATGTCTGGGAAGATCGCGGAGGTACCCAGTCCATAACCTAACGCTATGAAGCAAAGGATAGTTACACTGTTGCTTTATCACAACTTTGCAGGTGGGGAAATCATGCGACTTAGAGGCTTGGTACTTAATTCTATGCGATCCAAGGAAGAAATAAGTGGAAGCTAGGCTGTGATTTCCCTATTTCTTCCAACACTGAATCTAGCCTGAAGTGAAGAAAGTTTCCTTGAATGAATTTAGTCAGAATGCTTATCTGCTTATATCAATATTTTGTTAGCTACCTTCTAACATTATGACTATATTACTTTGTTTAGCGCATCAGATGATAACCACTTTGCACTAAGTTCACTTTTAGTCGAAAAATTCAGATAAACACAATACAGGTGTCTGGGATAACAATCTAAGTGGTGTGCGCCGAAACATGCTTATCAACAACAGTTATTCTACATCTTAACAAAAGGCATCAGAACTTAATAAAGGAAATCATAAAAATAAATTTTGGAACCGAAAGATAAGCATAACCTTTAATTATGCATCTCAGTTGTTTAGCTCACCATTGCAACTACTGGATTCAAGCCAGTTGAGCGCACTGAACAAGGCGGAGGTACCACCGAAACATGCGTTTTTAACGTCTACTCCTTCAACATCAAAATTTCCAGCTGTTTCAAATAATTCCATCAGCAAAGTCTTTGTAGATTTAGATTTATCTATTACTGTTTCTGTTCCAACCTGTAAACCAATGAAAACATGTATCATTGTCGGTCAAATAGTAATGAAAAACGAGTAAACCTGTGTGAAACAATTATCAAGACAAAATTTTCAGCATGTAATAGTCTTGTAAAGGCCCGAATAAGAAATTAATAACAACAAATTAAGATTTACATCACGTGTAAGCTCTGAAGCTTAGTGATACAGTATTGATAACTAGTGAGCGTTTTGAGTACAATTTACCGTTTATAATCATACCAATGTATTCACACGACTTTCTAACCTGCTTTATTTAGTGCTACTCCCTCCTGTTTTAAATATGGCTTCCCACATACATGTGGTTGACGTCGTATCAGTCTTCTGGTGTGTTAGTTGTTAATTCGACGAATAAAGAAATAGTAATTAACCTTAGAGCGGATTTCGTCACAAAACAAAAAGTTTAAGAACCACTCAAAACTCATAGTAAACAGATGCACTTTTATTTTGGGACATTTCAGTAGTGTGCAACCAAGATCTCATAAACGGTGTCTTATTAGCAAAATCATTAGTCTGTTGACCCACATAAGCTTAGAGTTGTATATCATGAATACATAAAAGCTAGTGAAACAACCACTTGCGGTTAGTGCTGTAAAATAGCATTTAAGCACGACAATTTTTTAAACTCCCGACCGAAAGCTGCTACCTTGATGTGGTGGTCGGGTTTGCATAACGCAATGACCCAACAAGCTACACTAGCAGGAACTAATATTCCTGAAGGCCTTACCATGCCAGGAAGATTGTTAGGATAGTGATTAGAATAAAAGCAGTTACCGGCATAGTGTAAGATTTTCTACGGCGAAGTCGTACGGCTGGGGAACAAAGATGTAACAGCAGATGACCGGCATGCCAGCTATACTGTCTCCACTCTGGAGAGAGGACGTTAGAAAAGGTCAACCCCAGAAATTCTACATCCCGACTCACCCTACGGTGGTAAGTTAGCAACGCTTTCAGGTTTCCAGTGGTTCTCTAACCGATGTCAGCTCATAATGAAATCGTGTAATCGATCAGATAAAATCCCTGCAAACAACAGTTGAACCTCATGCTCAAGTTTAATAGCCCGAAAACAGTGTGAAAGCAGGATTACTATTTGGTAGAATGTGTCCTCATTAAGGGAAATATTCTTAGTCTAAATTCCATAATTTAGTAGTTCATGTAAAATCACTCTGTATATTGTCTTAAGTGTCACGATGGCGTTGATATATATCTGGCACATGCTCACGTTCATCAGTGAAACACATTTCAAAACTTCACGAAACTTATGTCCCAAATGGTATTGAAATATGCGTTACTTAGTGCTAAAACTCTGGACTTTCGCGCCAGGTTTATTCATTTAAGACTAACAGCTAAAAAGGGGTTATTAACACTGAAAACAAAACGTATATGTACACATATAATCTGACTACAACATACCTCAAGAAAACCAACTTTTCTCAAGTCAATATTAATACGTTTGATAAGGTTACTAACCACAGTTAGACATATCGAATTTATATCTTCCTGTATCGAGCAAAATCCGAGAGATATCTGACCTAATCCTTGAGTGTACTTCCCAATACATTCATCTGCTACTTCCAAATCTTGTTGGGAAACAAAGTATCTTGGGAAAAAGACTTCCATCGCGATGATACCAAAGTCTGTAGTCTCCATTCTGAAAAGTGTTAAGTGATTTTGATTTCCTATATGTAAATAGTAATAAAATTAGACGTCATAATTATACAAAATTTGGGAAAACTTTAACTACGAAACTCTGCCTTTTCTCTAATTAATCTCTGTATTATAAATTCCTTTTGATGCGCAATGAATAGTCTACATGTTGTCCTGAACAAATCAGGCGAATCGAGTCACGTAGATATAATAACTTGGAAACTATGCAAAACTGAAGTACGTAATATTCAGCTGCATTCTACGCTGCGAAACACTACGATGTTAGAATACCTTGATGATTACACAAGTTCCTTTTTCCAGTTAAACCTTCGGGATATCAATAGCAACAAAACCAGGTATGAAGAAAAAAAACATTCCGATACATCACGAATCATGAATCAATTGAATGGCTACAAATAAGTGTAATCCGTAAAAATTCTGAATTTTTTTCTGAGAGTTAAGTAATAAATTTTCCTTATACAGACTACAATGTGGAGGCAATGCAATTTATTACAAGCCGTAATTTACCAGACAAAATAAAACCCGAGAGTATTTCACTGCTAGTCCAATTTGTGAGCCATTTGCAAATGGAATCAATTATTCATTATTCTTATATTTTTTAACTCTCAAAAACACTTTAGATGTTTGCGGAAAGTTCATAAGAATCGTGTCAGTAGATATAACCTATTGGCTACCATACCATCAAATAAAATTCGAAAACTAATGGAACTTTCCTATCAATTCGGAAGCCTGGTCTTTTGGCATTTTAAACGAATATTCGATTTACAAAACTTTTATAAAAACACTTCACTTCGACTACTCACGAATATTACGTAGTGCAAAAATTTACACACTGTGGCACACTGTTTCAAAATATCGCTGCTGTCAAGGTCAATCTTTATCTTTCATCCAATATCCAATATCATTTTTACGAGCTAGTATAAATCAGTGATTTCTTTGTGCTCACCTCTTGATTGTGATGTATAAGTTTCTGATCTTCGGTGAACTTCTGCGTAGCTCATCCCGCCACTCGACTGTTGTAGCTTTGGTTGACTCCAAAAGGAGTAGTGCTGGGATTAATCATATGATGTTTGTAGTATGCGGCGTGTTAAGACTGTTACTACTGTGAATGGAATTGATCCTTTCACCAGTTAGTCCTCTGGTAACGTTATCCAGAACAAAAGTCAGAAAAATAAATAAAGAAAATGTAACATCAGTCAGCTGATTAAATTTGAAGAATAATATGAATGATATATATATCGATAATAATAATAATAAGTGTATTTAAAGTTGTCTGAAGAGTAAGACGGGAGAGAATGTAAACAAGTAAAACGACGAACTTAGTTGTCTACCCCCGGATGTATGAGATTTTAGGGGGATACGCCACTTGGACGCAGTCCTTGTGTCGCTGCACGAATGTCCAGCCTTCGCTTAAAGGTGTTCACAGACAGTGCCATAGCTACATCTGCCGGTAAGGAGTCCCAGGGACGGCAAACCTGCAGTGAAAAGAAGTGGGAGCGCACCCGGGTCCTTGCTCTCTGGTGAGCTATGCTTCTGGGATTTCCACGAGGAAGCACATACTTACTTAATGGCAGGACACCCCTGTTTGTGTGGTTCTGGTCACTTGTCGTCTTGCAGGCAGTAATCAAATCCCCCTAAGCCGATGGTAGCTAGGTGTGAATAAACTTAATTTCTTTAGCCTTCCATCATATGGTTTATTTTGGAGACCAACCACTCCTTTTGTCGTCCGTCTTTGGACTCTTTCCAAGAGGTTGGTGTCTATTCTAAGCATTGGGGTGCAATAAGATTATGCACTTCAAGGTGTGGTCTGACGTGTTTTCTACAACCTTACAAAGAGCTCAGGAGTGAGTGCACCTAACTGTATATGTGTAAAGTGTATGGCCGCATATGCCCTCGCTACGTCCCCGTGTAATTTACGCTTATGTCCATTTTTTCCGTTAGAACTAGACCCAAGTCGCGTTCCGATGTTGTGCAGGACAAGCTTTCATTGCACAGGTTGTAACTTGCATTCTGAAGTCTACAGGTGCGTAACTTCACTACTTTGCACTTTTTCAGGTTGAAAGTTATGCCACTGGCCACCGCCCAGTCTTCCAGAAGCCTTAGATCTGCCTGCAGTCTATCTGAGTCCTCCGGACACTTTATCGCCCTCCATATCTTCACGTCGTCGGCGTATAGAAGAGTCGGGCAGCTTAGATGGCATGGCAGATCATTGATAAAAATCAGAAAAACATCAGTTGTCTTAGGAAAGAACCCTACGACACTCCTGATGACGAGCTGTGCCAAGATGATCGGACTTAATTGACCTTAGTGCAAAATTGCCTTTCAGCTAGGTAGTCCTTTAACCATGACAGAATTGGCTTACCTACACCTGTCTGACTTATTGTGTGCAGGAGAAGGTCATGGTGAACTGTGTCAAATGCATTCTCAATGTCTAGGAAGACCACATGGACTGGAACATTCATATCCCAGCATGATGTCCAATCGTCCCAAGCTGATAGTAGGTTTGTTACACAGGATCTGCCTTTCCTGAAACCATGTTGGGCTTCACGGAGTATATTAGACCTATCGAGATATTCCCTGATGTGATCGTCAATAATACTTTCCAGTACTTTTGATACCACTGAAAGTAGAGCTACTGGTCTATAAATAGTGGCATTTCGCCTATCACTACCCTTGAAGAAAGGATGGTTCTTTTCTACTCCCTTGGCAGTTTCCCCGAATCCATTGGTTGTTGGAACAAGTCGCATAAGGGCCTACACAGAGCTTCGGCGCACTCTTTCAAAACAGATGGCCTGATGTCGTTACAACCTGGGGACTTCCCAGGTGTGAGTCCCTAGTACTACTGCCGAGTTTATTTGGGGAGTAGCCACTAGGTCTCCCCCCAGTGAAATTGTAGGGCCACCATTTTGATCCATACCGGTAATACCCACATTGCTGTTTAGCTGTTTGGCAAAGGCTAAACTGAATGTTTCAGCCATCTCCAGCCTAGTGACATATGGGCGTTGATATAGCATATCCCCTGTTTGAAGTGGCGCCTCCAGCTTTACCTTGAGGGCATCTGCGCGGTCTAGTTGATTTGAGTTTGGCTGATTTGTTTCGTTTGATCTAGGTAGCTGCATTTGACGTGTTTCTGGTTTTTATTTGGCTTGAACTGTGTTGGTTTCTTCAAGAATGGTCGTCAAAATCTGCCTCTAAGCCTGAAGGCATTTATCGTGCAGGAGGATGGTTGAGACTGTGTTTCATGCAAAAATTATAGGATGCACCTAAAATCCTTGGTGTTAACTCCTGTTTGCGGCGTCTCAGTGATTTCTGCAGAGCTTCGTTTTGTCACTTGTGTCCATATTTGTCGTTCACGAGTGTTTCAGTAAATGTTTGTGGCTATAATCAGGAACTTTCCAAAACGGTAATTGTGGTAAGGAATTCCGCTACAGTTTCCAAGTCAATGTCACTTTCAAGTTGCTTATTGTGTTCTGTTGGCGATTCGTGATATTGACCGTTTGGGCCTACTAAGGCGCATGCCCCCTGATTGGTTGGTTTTCTTTCCGACATGAATCGATACAAGTTTTTGGGGTTTGCTGGGAGCTTTCGGCAAAGTTAGCCTGGAATGACCTGTCACTCCTGACTCTCGCGTTGCACCGGTTCCTGAGTTGCAGGTATGCGTCGTGGTCGATCTGGCTCTTAGATACGCGCCACGCAAACCAAGCCTTCCGCTTCGCTTGTAGAATACGTTGCGTGCCTCTCTTCAGCTGTGATGACTTTCTTTTGGGCTGTGTTATGACTAAAGGGACGGTATTCGAGATTGCTGTATGAATAATCTTTTTTACCACTTCCCAGTGTTCATCCACAGATAGCTCATCCCATGCTAAGGATCATTCTGCGTCGGACAAAAGCCTCTGCACTTCAGCATAGTCTGCCCTGCAATAACGCGGACATGGTTGCGTAACGCCCCACTGCAAATTCTCAGCCCCTATATATACATTATTATTATTATGGAGGACGAGATCGAAACCTATGACTCTATGGTCTCTACTCCCTAGAGGAGTCATGATCTGGACCTTTTCGACGAGTAGTTGGTCACTAGTTAGAATGTAGTCTAGTTTTGATGACTTTTCACTAGGGCCCCACCTAGTGTCGTCTCCAACACTCTCAGTCAGTCCCGTATTTCGAATAGCTTGCAGTAGATTTCGGCCAAATTTTCCCTTAGAATACCCCGAGCCAAGGTTCAGTGATGAGGCATTTAAATCTGCAGCTATGATGAGTCGGTTATAGCCCAAGTCCTGTATTCCTGTGATAGTGCTGAGCAGTAGCTGGTTGTGCTCTATTCCGCAGGTGGGTGATCGGTAGATGCCACCCAGTAAATGCTTGGTGTGGCCTACAGTGAAATGACACTATATGGAGTCTGGTAGTTCAATAAGTGGTGGGTTTGTTGCGCGCACACATTTAAGTTGCCAGTCAAAGTATATAGCAACTCCCCCTCCTTCCTTATTATCTCTATCTCTCTTGCCCAGAACCATATCACCTATACTTATTTCGTTGTTGGCGATGATGAGGGTTAGCCAAGTTTCAGTGTGAATGATTATTTTAAGTTGTAGGTGTGATTGGAGATTTCTGAGTTCGCCTACTTTTCCTCTCAGCCCCCTCACATTGCTATGAAGGCAGCTGACAGTGAGTCTCACAACCTTAGTGTGTTGTGGGGCAGTTAACGTGAAGCTGTCCGATGGAACCGGCCCGTTGTAGATTTCTACATGGATTCAGGTAGGACACTTGGGTGACAGACTGTAATTTTCAGTGCTGCATCGCTCTAGTGTCACTGAGGCTTGGGGACGTATTAAAGCCTCACTTTGCTGCCTCCTTATGGTTCTGGGTCTGCTTTCTCAGCATCGGATGTGTCCTCCCATTTTCCCCTTGGTCTCATACCACCGTTGAAGTGCTATGGCCAACTGCTCCGGGGAGTCGAATGGGACACTTAGCAGCCTTGGAGAGCTAATCAGTGTGGGAAGAGCGGAGCGAGGTAGCCAGAAAAATGAGACTGCTTCAGAAGCGCCAAGGATCATCTGAGATGACAGCCATCTCCATTGCTGTACGTCGTGCATGTGTTTTTCATAAGCAGTGCCCATTTCCAGCTCCAGAACACCATGTACGAACATAGAGGTATAAGGCATCAGTTCCGGTGACTCCCTCGCCACTTGTCTGTTAGCCCATGGTCTATCATGTCTCACCCTTATGCTAGAACTTCTGTCGATGGCTAGTACCTGAGCCATTGATAGTATTCTTTCGGCCTCTTCGGCAGAGTCCAGTGTTACCCTTAATGGAGGTGGCTTACTCTGAGGCGTGTGGACACACCTGTACATCCTGCACAATTTCGCTGAACTAATGTTCAGACCTAATGTATTGCACAAGTTGGACCACTGTTCCCGATCAAACAGGGCCCGTTGTTCAAGCAAGCTATCCTTCCTCATAGGTACATTAAAAAGGATATTGTTGGTGCAACCTTGGGACTCTTCACCTTGTGAAGATTGGCATTTCCAGTCAGTTGGACTGGAGTGTCCTTCTTAGTGTCTGTACCAAGTTTTGGCAGTGCGGTGTTAGCAGGTGTGGAGTTGCATGGGACTGTGTTGAGACACAAATGTGGCGTGTTGTTTCTGTTATCCGCAGACACACTGTGTGGGACTGTGCCAGGGCGACAAAGTGGACAGATATACCAAAACCATGGGCATGGGTTATTTCGCATAAACTCGTAGTATGATTTTGGCGCCCCTTTGTCACAACGGCAGTGTACCCATCGTTTGCAAAAATTGCATTCAAATGCTGAGTCAGTTTCAGAAACGATGACACTACATGCCTGACATTTGTCTCCCTTACTTGAT